TTGTTTTTATTAAAGAACCTTCAATGTTTATAAAGTAAAATGAAGTGAAGCGAACCTGCTTTCAAAGGGGCAGGAAGCTGCACACAGTTGCACAGTGGCCACTTCTGGAGAAAGGGTAGCAAGCCACGCCCTTTGCAGAATGAGCGAATAAGTAATCTAAAAGATAAAAAGAGCTAAGAGCTGTTTTCTTTTCTTTTCTTTTTCTTTTTTTCTTTTTTCTTTTTTGGTGTTTTTGAGACAGGGTCTCTCTGTAGTGGGGGCTGGCCTACAACTCACTATGTAGACCAGACTGGTCTTGAACTCAGAGATCCGCTGGCCTCTGCCTCCCAAGTGCTGGGATCAAAGGCATGGTCCACCACGCCCGGCGAGATGTTTTCTTTTAACAGAGGAAAGCATCATCGTTACTCTGTTTTCAAACTTTTTATTACATTTGTGTGCGTGAGAGAGAGAGACAGAGACAGAGGGGTGGGGGGAAGGAGAATGCTTGTGTGTGCCAGGTGGAGGTGTAGAGGTTAGAAGGGCAATTTGCAGGAGTTGGTTCTCTCTTCCACCATGGGATCCATGGGATTCCCAGAGATCAAATGCAGATGATAAGTGCCTTTACTCATTTAGTTATCGCCCTGGCTCTAAGTTTTTTCTTTCCTTCCTGCCTTCCTCACTTCCTTCCTTCCTTCTTTTTCTTTCTGTCTTTCTTTGGACAACGTCTCAGTGTGATGCTCTCACTGGCCTTGATCTCAGAAATCCAACTATCTCTGCCTTCCAAGTATTAGTATTAAAGGCGTGCACCATCAAGCCCAGCCCCTAAGTTTTATTACTATGAATAAAATTCTCACATCTTTCCTTATAATTTCTATGTTGATCATACTTTATAAAATTTTCATTATCTAAATCTGTTAATACTTGTAGACTAACCCTAAAATACACATTCAAAACCACAAACGGTCACCTATTCACTTATAAAATATTGTACCTATTTATATATCTAGACATTGAATTAAATAAAACAAAGGCTGAGGCTGGGCACTCAGGAAGCAGAGGCGCATGGATCTCTGTGAGATAGAGGATGGACTGGTCTACATAGTGAGTTCCAGGCCAGCTGGGGCTACTGGGAGACTCTGTCTTGAAAAACAAACCAAAATTTTTTTTAAATAAATAAAAATAAAATAAAACAAAGAAGCTGGGTGTGGTGTTGATCACCTTTAATCCCAGTACTTGAGAGGCAGAGGCAGGCGGATCTCTTTGAGTTTGAGGCCAGCCTGGTCTCCATAGCGAATGCAGGCCAGCTGTGGCTACAGGGAGACCCTGTCTCAAAAAGACCAAAAATAAAGAAATAATAAATCAAAGGCCAGCCAGATGGCTCAGGAGTGAGGGAGCTTGCCACTAAGCCTGACCACCAGAGTTCAGAGTTCAATCTCTGGAATCCATGTGGTAAAAGGACAGAACTGACTCCTACCAGTTGTCCTCTGACCTCTACATATGCAGTGTGGTACCTATGGGCCCATATATCACACATCACATACAAATAATAAATAAATGTAATATTTTTTAAAAAAGTAAATGAGGAGGAAATAACAAAGTGCAAATATACAGGTGTATTTTCTAATACTAAATAACAATATTTTCTTTTGGGCTGGAGCGATGGCTCAGTGGCTAAAAGCACTGGCTGCTCTTGTAAAGAACTGGAATTCGGTTTCCAGCACCCACATGAGGACTAACAACTGTCCTTAACTCTAGTTCCAGGGGAATCCAATGCCCTCTTCTGGCCTCTGTTGGCATTGCATGACACCAGTGCACTTACATACATTCAGACAAAATATTCATGTACATAAAGTAAAAATAAATAATTAATAATAAAAATTTAAAAAGAATAAAGAATATTTTCCTTTGACTTAAATTTTGCCAGATTCTCACCCCTGCTGTGGTACTAGGGTTTAAACCCAGAGCTTCAAGGGTGCTTAAAATGTTTACTTATTTATTTATGTGTATGTGTGTGGTATCTCAATGTATGTAACTGGAGGAGCAGATGGTTGTTGGCTGCCATGTGGGTGTTGGGAACCATGTGGGTGTCCTCTACAAGAGCAGCTAGCACTCAACTGCTGAGCCAGCTCTCCAGCCCTTAGGTACAGTTTTTAATCTATTTCCTTTGACAACAGTGATTAGATTTACTTGGAGTGTGTAGGCCTCAGAGTATCAAAGCAACACTTTCTGCATTCAACACAAATAATCTTTCAGTGTTTAGAGTTTTTTTGATGATTTATTATTATGTATAATGCGTGTGAATGTGTGTAGGTATGTGCATGTGAATGCAAGGGTCTGTAGAGACCAGAGGATTCCTTGGAGCTGGAGCTACAGGCACCCTACATGGATGCTGGGAACCAAACTGGTGTCCTCTGCAAGAGCAGTACATGCTCTCAACTGCAAAGCCATCTTTCTAACCCAGCGTTTAGTGATCTTATTTTCAAAATTCTCCCTACTATTCCTCTGTAAGCAAATTTGGGAGCAATTTTCCTAGGAAGACAGTGTTATAAATGATGAGACTGCACAGCTAACATTTTTCCTAAGTAAAATGAAATATTGTAGCAGTGCCAGGTGTGGGGCACATACCCATAATCCCTGCACTGGGGAGGCTGAGGCATGAAGACTGAGAATTTGAGACCATACTGGACAGACACAAAACAAAACAAAATTACATCAGTTAAATGTGCTGCAGTTCTGTCTGGAATCTCTGTCACTGTTACTTTTATTTTTGCTGTTTTTGTGATTAGTGTAAGTAATAAGAGAAATTAATATGGCTGTATCACTTTACTCGAACTACCAAGTTGTATTTATTTCTCAACTTCTATACTTCTATGTTAGAAATCCTGTAAGGGGCTGAAGATTTGGCTTAGTGGTTAAGAGCACTGGTTGCTCTTGCAGAGGATCCAGGTTCAGTTCCCAGCAACCACACGGCAACTAATAACCATCCTTAACTCCAGTTCTAGGGGATCCAACACCTTTTTCTGGCCTCCAAGGGCATTGTACACATGTGGTGAACTTACATTCAGTCAGGCAAAACACTCAGACACACAAAATAAAAATCAATACAAGTAAAAAACAAACAAACAAAAAGAAATGCCTTTGAGGTAGTGTGCTCCATATTTTATAGAAGGTATAACTGCGACAGAAGGTAGGTTTAAACTTTCAAAATATACACCATCCCAGGAGAATATTCGGGGTTTGTATTGTGTTTTGCTTTGTTTTGTTTAGAATTAGTATAAGCAATCCTAAAGTTTTAGTGGGTTATGTGTGAAAGATTTTTTAAAGTCAAATATCTGAAAAAATCCTTCAAGGAGTACTGAACACATTATATGCTAAAGTTCAGTTCCCCCAAGTCCACCCCAAATCATGGCCCTTAGAACCTTTCTCATTTCCTAGCATTACCTCATAATCAAGAGTAACTACTAATTCTAGTCTACTTTCTGCAGCAGTGATAAACTCCGGCTCCAGAAGCAGCAACAGGAGGAAAGGGTTTATTGGACTTAAACTCACAGGCAGCTCATAATCCATCCCTGAGAGAAGTCAGGGCAGAAACTCAAAGCAGAAACCTGAAGCAGAGACCTTGGAGGAACACTGCTTACTGACTTGTTCTCCCTACCTTTGTACAGCCCAGGTCTCCCTGCCTGGGGATTGCACTGCTCACAGTGAGCTGGGCACCCCTGCATCAATAAATAATTAATAAATTGCCCCACAGACACGCCCACAGGCCAATCTGATGGAGGAAATTCTCCAACTGAAGGTCCCTCTTCCCAGGTGTGTCAAGTTGACAACAAAGTCAGCTATCACATCACTCTTACACAGGCAAGTGAAAGCTGTTTGAGAGGCATTGTGGGTGGAGGAAATAAACTTAGCCTTTGAGATCAGGCACCTCCTTTTCTTATTTACAGAACAACCCTGACTGAGCCTTGGACAAGTATTGTAACTTGACTGAATCTCAGTTTCCAACTTTGCAGTTGCCGTAATAATATATATCACTTGGAATTATTTTGAGATGTAAATGAGGGACCACTTATACTCAAGAGTAATTGTTTCCTCTTTAGCAGTAAATTGAATAGTATTTATAAAGTAATTATTTTGTCATCTCAGAATGAATTAGAGTAGTAAGGCAGTTAGGAAACCTGGGCTGTTACTGTACCACAGGAACTAGCTCAGACTGTTATTGTTCAAAAATTCTTGTTTGTAAAGTTCAGTAATATGCAACTGGGGCACACAATCCTAATTTTAATTCTGCAGTCATTCTTGCCTTGACCCTCCCTCCCATCCTCCCTTCCTTCCTTTGTGTTTTTTAGACAATGTCTCATTATGTAGCCCTGGCTGGCCTGAAACTTACTCTATATAGACCAGGCTGGCCTTGAGCTCACAGAGATCTGCCTGTATCTACCTCCTGAGCGCTGGGATTAAATGGGTGCACGACCACACCAGGCATCTTTCTTTCTTTTTTCAGACAAGGTGCCTCTAAGTTGCCCAGGCTGATCTTCAACTCACACAAATCCCCTCAGGACCCCAATTACCAAGATTACAGGGATGTGTCCACCACAACCAGTACTCTTCTTGATTATAAGCTTTGTTTCAGTAACTGAAAACACTGTTTAATCAAGATATGGAATTATATATCACAGTACAGAAATTCCACGAAGAAAATTCAAGAACAAGATACTATTGGGAAAATTGCAAATTGAGGTCTGAATGTGAAAATTATATGTAGATGTTTAAATATACCATATAAATGAAAAGTTCACTAGGGAAAAGGGTAACAATACTCTGCATGCTTACCTGGCAGGTATGTTCCTGAAACCACATTCTACTAACCCAGCTAGAACCAACCACCCCCAATTCTTGTTCTTCACATCCTGTTTTTGGTCAGCCCCTCCCACAGCTAACACTTTACCTAATAAAAGAACTCACAGATCATGGTTAGGTTTTAAATTTTCTGTTGGAATTTCTGAAGCAAGATACATACTTACACAATCTGCTTAATGCCTTAAGGACTCCCTGAGGCTGCATGTGGAGACGAACTGGTGGTGGGAAAACCAGAAGCATGAAGACCAGTGGTGGAGTCATGTCAAGTCTCCAGCTGGTAATGGCTGGAACACAGCGGCAGCAGTAGAGGCGAGAAGCAGATGTTTGAGCAGATTATAGAAGAAAAGCTAGTGGGACATGATGATGAATTAGATACAGAACACAAAGAAAACAGAAGAATCAAAACCACAGCTCCCAGGTTCGACCTGAGCAGTTTTCAGGCTGCTGTTGCCATTACTGAAATGATAGAGTTTGGAGATGTGTAAGTAAGGTGGTGGACTAGAGGCTGCCCTGTGAGCTTGTAAAGGAGAGAGTCAGACAAGAAAGAGGTAAACTGTATTCAAAAGAGGGAAGAGCTTCTGAAATCTACAGCGAAAGTTAAACATACCTAAAGAGTAATAGAGAAGTGAACTGAACGAGTGTCCAACAGCAGCTCTCAGGATGGAGGAGGAAGGAAGACAAGTCCAGAGCCCTCACAAGCCTCAAAGCCAGTTGTGGGTTTTGGTGAGACAAGTGCTTCCTCCGGCAGACAGATCAACGGTGGAGAGAAATACCACTCCCATTGTGTCATGCTATGTGACCTGCAGGGCAGGTACTATCTTCAGAGAAAATATACTACTAAACACTGAGCTGCCCTAGCAGCCTGAGCACAGGGAACAACCAGAAGGCAGGAGTCTCAGTCTGGCCTGCCACAGTTGCCAGATGAAAAAGGCCCAGAGAAGCAGTTGTAGACAGAAGGAGAGCTGGACGCCAAAAAGACAAAGGGTTCTGCAGCAGGAGGCTTGGATCAGGCAGAGACGTGGATAGGGAAAGATTGCCCATTCTCAGTGGCCTGGAGTAGACCTCATCAACTAAAAGTAACCCTGGAGTTTAATAGCTCTGAGCCTGAGCCACAGGGTGGCTCACATCTATCATTCACTGCAATAGAGCCAGAGAACCTTGAAGTTCCAGAGGGACTTGATATACACAGCTGCATTCCTCCAACAAGGTGCATGAATTACAACACAGAAACACGAAAAATAAGGTGACGTGACTCCTCAACTACTGAATTCAACGATACTGAAGTAAGTAAAATACTGGATGAAGATTCCCAAAGTAAAAATGACCAATGATGTCAAAGAGGTCACAAATAGGGCTGGAGAGAAGGCTCAGTGGCTAAGAGCACTGACTGTTCTTGCAGACGACCCGGGTTCAATTCCCAACAGCTAACAACTGTCTGTAATTCCAGTTCCATGGGATCTGATGCCCTCTTCTGACCCATGTGGGCATTGCACAACACCAGTACACTTACATATGTGTAGGCAATACACTTGTACATATAAAATAAGATAAAAATAAAATATTTTATAAAAAGAGGTTACAAACTAGCAGATAAACTCGATTCAGGATCTGTAGAGAAAAGTCAGCAACAAAAACAGTGCCAGGTATGGGTGCACACCTTTAAACCCAGCACTTGGGAGGGTATGGCCTGAATTCCCTCTGGGTCTCCTGTGCTATCAAGCAAACCACATAACATATCTTTATGTGAGTTATTATGGTTTATTCCCTCATGTAGGGAGGGGGTAAATTGGGGAACTTACACAGAGTCAAGCACTCTTGCCCTGGCATTTGGCGTTTCTCCTGACTCCTGGTTTCAGTTCCAACATGGCTCCCAGTCACCCCTCAGTAGCCCACGCCCTGTGGCAGGCCCCACCCCTTGGAGGAACTAGCCAATGGGGAGACAGAGGCAGAGGCAGAGGCAGGCAGATCTCTGTGAGTTCAAGGTTAGCTTGTCCTAATGAGTTTCAGGCCAGCCAGGGCTAGACAGTAAAACCTTATCTCAAAACAAAAAACAAGCAAATTAAAAGGAGGCAAAAAATGTTTTTTTGTTATTGTTGTTGTTTTTATTTTTGTTTTCTGTCTTTCTCCCTGTAGCCCCAGCTGTCCTGGAACTCACTATGTAGACCAGACTGGCCTTGAACTTGCAGAGATCCTCCTGCCTCCGCCTCCCAAGTGCTGGGATCAATGGTGTGTGCCACCACACCTTTAGATAATTTCTGAGTGTGTGCAGTACTAACTTACAGTAGTTATAAGAAATCTTGGGGCTACAGAGATGGCTCAGTGGCTAAGAACACTTGCTGCTGTTGCAGAGGATCTGGGTTCAAACGCTCATAGCACCCCTGACTAGAGGCTCACAACCTCCTGTAACTCCACCTTCAGGGGATCTAGCACCCTCTTCTGGCCTCTGTGGGTACCCACATATACTCAAACACATCCACACATACAGAAAGACATATACACATAAATTTAAAAAATAAATCTTAAAAGAATCTCACTTCTGGTAGTTTAGTCTCCACTGATACTAAAGTGTTCAAATATTCTGTGTATTTTAGATAAATTATTCTCAAGAGAGAGTCCCTCTTCCTCTTTAGGAACATATGTAAGCCAGGCTACCTCTCTACCTCTTCCATTTTCCTTCTTACACTATAGGAATCTATGGTTTAGTCAAAACAGAATCAGCTTGGGTGGAATTAGTCAAAGCTTAGTAGTTAAGAAAGCAGACTTTGTGAACTGGGGTTATAGCCTGTTCGTAGTAAAAAAATAGAGATATGGGGGGGAGATAGAGAAAGAGCAGTAGATATGAAAGCACACTCTGTGTGCTGGGGTTATATAGTGTTCGTGTTTCTCTCTCTCTCTCTCTCTCTCTCTCTCTCTCTCTCTCTCTCTCTCTCTCTCTCTCTCCTCAAACTGCCTCAAACTCAGACTAGCCTTGAAGTTGAGCTCCTCCTTCCTCAGTTTCTCAAGTGCTGGGATTACAGGCATGTGTCATCATGCCCAGTTCCAGATCTTCTCTTTACTAGACAGAGCAAGCCACTTAAAAGTCTTAATGCCTCAATTCCTTCCTTTGTTAAAAGGGGATAATGATAATGGTTTAAGTGTTTTGCAGATAATATTCACCTAGTTTTCATAATAATCCCATGGAATAAGTATTATAATTCATTTTACTGATGAGAAAGCCAAAACACAGATGCTAAATAATCTGTCCCAGTCACACAGCTGTAAGTGGCAAGCTAGGATCTGATCCCAGACAGTGTGGCTCATGATCGGGAACACTGAACTGCAATGGTGTTCCCTTGCCTATCCTAAATGGTCATGCTCTACACTATGTAGGCCTAAAAGACCATGTTCAAGTCTTGTTGGACCTGGGTAAACATCTGTCTCCAGGACATAGTGCTTGCTGTACAGCCTAACTAAAAGATGACCTGAACCTATGTATTAGTTACTTTTCTGTTGCTGATAGAAACACTGACCAAAGTAATTTATAGAAGGAAGAGTTTATTTAACTTACAGTTCCAAAGGGGCAAGAGTCCATCATGGTGGGGAGGCATGGTGGCCGAGGTGGCTGGAGGAGGAGCAGAAGCTAAGCTCTCATATCTTCAAGCAGGCACAGGAAGCAAGAGAGCAACTCAAGATCTGGCAAGGCTTAAGAACTCTCTAAGCCCATCCCCAGTGACGTGCTTCCTCCAGGATAGCCACACCTTCTAAGACCTCCCAAAGCAGCGCCACCAAATGGGGACAAAAATATTCAAACACTTGGAGCCTATGGGGTACATTCTCATTCAAACCATCACAACCTATCAAATCCTTTCTCTCCAAGGAAACTGTTCTGAGAGTCATAGGAGTAAGCCGTTATTTGGATATATGAAAGATCCAATGAACTTGGCCTCATTGGTCACTGATATGTGAACCAAATCCACAGAGGGAAGAGGAGCAGGCTCAGCACCTGCTGCCAAGCCTGACAACCTGAGTTTGATCTCCAGGACCCATATGATGGAAGGAGAGAATGAACTCCCACAAGTTGTCCTTTACCTCTACACACTTACAGTGATATATGAGTGTAGGTGTGTGTACACACACACACACACACACACACAGACAAATATAATAAAATTTAAAACATTTTTAAAGTTATTCTACAATGTAAATAAATGTTGAGGACCTGTAAATGTAATAAGCCAGTAAAAAGACAAATGCTGTTTGATCTTTGTATTTGTTACTTTTCTATTATTGTGATGAAATGCCAGGACCAAAAGCAACTTATAGAAGGGATTTATTTTGACCTGTAGTTCCAAAGGGTTGGATCCATCATGGCAGAGGAGGGATGGCAGTAAGTGGCAGAAGAAGGGAGCTGGCAGATGGATCACATTTTATCCACACGCAGGAAGCAGATAGAGAGCAGGAAACAGAGCAAAGCTATAAACCATCAAAGCCCTCCCCGAGTGATATACTTCCTCCATCAAGGCTCCACCTCCTAAAGTTCCATAACTTCCCCAAACAGTGCTACCAATAAAGTGTTCAAATGCCTGAGCCTGTGGGGGACATTTTGCAATCAAACCACAATAGTCCCACTTATCTGAGGTACCTAGAATTGTCAAATTCATAGGGAGGAAAAGTAGAATGCTGTCTACCAGCAACAGAGGTAGGGATCAAGGATCTGGTTAGCAGGCATACAGTTTCAGAGCTGCAAGATAAAGTTTTCTGGTTGCCTAACAGTGTGAATATGCTTAGCACTAGTTTACTGTGCACTTAAAAAATGTGAAGATGAGCTGGGCATGGTGGTACATGCCTTTAAGGCCAGCATTCAGGAGGCAGAAGCAGGTGGATCTCTGTGAGGAAGACTCTGTCTCAAAAAAAAAAAAAGTGATGATAAACAGTATGTTATTGTATGTTAGATTTTTATCATACTTATCAAAGTAATAAGCACAAATTCAACCAAGAAACAAGAAAAAAAAAAAAACAGATCAAACATAGATTGTGTCAGCCTTGTTGAGAAGACAGTGATTCTGTATCAGTGAAAGTAACACAGCTTGAGAAAAAGATAGCTGTTTGTGAAGAAAACTTGAAATAAGTCACTGGCCCGTCCAGGTTCCCTGGTCCTTAGCACACAAGTACAGACACTGAGACATCAGCTAAGATACTGATCTGGAGAAAACGGGGTCTCCTTTCAGGGTGCTTAGTCTCATTCATAAAGGAATTCAAGAATGAACTCAAATGGAAGCTTTAGGTCAATTTTATTAGATAGAATTTAAAGAAATATCCTTAGGATAGGGAAGCGCTGCCTTTAAGAGGAGAATGGAAGGAAGAAGGAAAA